GAGGAGGAAGCAGAAAAATGATCCAAATATGGCAAAGTATTATAAATTATTAAATCTAGCCAGAGCCCTGGCCGGTTTGGTTCAGTGGTTAGAGCGTTGGCCTGCAGTCCAGAGAGACCCGGGTTCGGTTCCCGCTAAGGGCACGTACCTCGGTTGCAGTTTGTCCCCGGCCCTGGTTGGGGTTGTGCAGGAGGCAGCCACTCAATGTGTCCCTTTCACGTCGATGTTTCTCTCTCCCTCTCCCTCCCTCCCATTCTATCTGAACAAAAATGGAAAAATGTCCTCGGGTAGGATTAAAAAAAAAAAATCAATCAGCTTAAAATCCATGTAACACCATGAGAGAGAGCATCAGGATATGAGTCCTCACAAGCAAAGCCTGGGAGCAGACAAACTGCTGCAGTGGGACTGGAGGGCAATATGGTAATGCCTATCAGACTTGGAAAAGCACCTATCCAGTGATGCTTCCTGGTTCGAATCTGTGCTGAATACGCCTCCACGTGAAATGACATATACACTAAATTATTCTTTACAGCATTATGTGAAATAGCAAGACTGGAAATAATCTATATGCATGTGTATCCGTTCAGATTGGTTTCACAAATCACAACACATCCAATAAGTCAGCAAGTATCTTTTAAATTATCTATTCAAAAATGAGAGCTCTTTGGGAACTGATATGAAAGATGACCATGTCATAGTTTACAAAAAAAAAAAAAATCACAGTGTAGGATAATGTGGTTGAGTAGCTGCAGCTACAAGGAATGGGACACATCTTTTCCTGTGTACTTCTTTCTGTACCTCATGAACTCTGTACCATAGACATATACAATGTATTCAAGAAATTTTTCAAGTAATGACTGACTGTAGCTGAAATTAACTCTTCTTATCTCCATGCTTTCATTACCAAAACCTAATTACAATAGAATTACAGCTCACCTGGGAATTAGGGGATGAAGTCAGTGCATACAGTGAAAATAACACATAGTAAAAATTGGCCTTAAAAATATGCCACACTGGACTGACACATGATCTCAATAATTCCGACATAGCTCATTTTCATTCCAGCACATGAAGAGTTCACTGTTTCTTCAATTGACTAGCGGATAAAATATCTGGCTTACACTTAGGTCTCATGTGATGTTAAAAATGTGTGTCTTTAAAATACCATACTCACACTCATCACAGCCAGATGGGAAGCATTCAGGAACCGAGACAGGCTGAGGGAAGAGCAGATTTCCATTTCTACCTCACACTTGACCCAGAACCTTCACTGTTTAGGTTATTTATTCCTTTGTTTTTGTCACCAGATGCAGAGAATTGAATTTGCATAAATTACATAAAATGTACAATGACAACATGGAATTTAAAAAAAAAAACTTCAAAAACAGTACCTCTATTAATTAAACAAACCATTACAGTAGAAAAGAAAATCACAACCCAAGCAAAATGGGCTAACTTGCTGACTGAGAACAGGCTGAACAGGATCCCCAGATTAAGATGGAAAGAAGAAACTGATACCCTCTTGATCAACATCACACGTGATCTTATAAGATCACATGACCTTAGCTACAGCCCATTCCTTTATGGTGGCATTCCCATACACCATCATATAGATCCCTCAATCTGTACTCCGAGTGATCTTATAACTCGAGGTAAACTCAGCTACCACTGAGGCTAAATAAAAACTCTCACATCTTTCTGTCCGATGGCCTGGGGGACTGGCACCAGGCAAAGTGCTCGACCATTGTCTCCTTGCTCAGCCTTGTCTCCCACCCTGAACGGCCTGCCTCTAGGCTATAGATTAACTCCCATCTTATCTATTCATATTCCAGAGGCTACTAGATACTTCTCCTAGGGGATTCACCAATTAGGCAACTCAAATTCATTATAAACTGAACTCATTCTTTCCCTGTCCCCCACCTCCCCAATCTGCTCTTCCAGTATTCCCTATCTTGGAAAACAGAAAAACATCCATCTTGGTGCCCAAACAAAATCTAAAATTCATACCATGTTGTATCCATGCCCTATTCCTAAAAAAACACCCAAGTTCTGTAGATCCCACCACTTACATCTCTTTTAAGTCCACCCAACCCCATCATGCCCACTGTCAACGCTTTGGTTCACCTTCATTTAGGTCATTTGAACTAACTGGTGTCCCTGCCTTGGTCTCTTCAATCTATCTTGCATACACCTGAAAACTTAAAGGCCAAGTACACATTCAGTTATGTTACTCTTTCTACTTTAAGAACAAAAGGAATAAGAACAAGTCCCAAAGTAATGATGTAGTAAACTAAAAACAAGCTCATTTAATAACATGATGTAATGCAAAGAGAATGTATCACCAGGTGTATTTTTATGAGTATGTTCCTATTCTACCCCCACACTACAGGGCCAAATTAAATAAACTAATATATGTGTTTCGAAAGAAAGAGGCCACAGGGAAGCAAGGAAAATTCATCTGCCTTCTTAGTCTAAAATGAACACAAAATGAACCACAGCAGTGATAAAGGCACCTTAAGGAGAACAAAGGGTTTCCCAGACCTAGAAGTCAAGCATGCATTCAAGCTGAATTTAAAACATGTCTAAAAACAAATGCCTAATCAGAAAGATTTTGGGAAGTAAACACAAGCAGAGAGGCTGAAAGAAGAGGTTCTGCCATAGAGCAAAACCATCCATCCCCAAAGTAAGTTGAAAGAGGCTGTCTCAGTGCCAGTCCAGCAAATACCTCCCTTCCCTGGTTGAGTTCATGCTAACCTAACTAAGCTACCTATGACCTGATCTGGTAGGTAAAGTCTACCTACCTGAAGAGAATATTCCAGTCATTTGGCTTGAGTCTCAGGTACCTCTCTCTGTCTCTTGTTTCTTAGTTGAAAAATCAAACTGGAATATTAATTAAAACCAAGCAAGCAAATCTAATTATCAGAAAAGTTTATATTAATCATGCCAACAAGCACATATCATTATAAAATAATAAACTGGAATTCTGGCTTTACACATCAGTCTTGCACAGCTGGTTAATATAAGTCCAACCCTGGGATAAGCGCTGCTTTGAGCATGCTGACCAGATCTGATTTCCAAGGGTGTTACACCAAGGACCAGACCTAGGATGAAGGTAAATGCTAAAACTGTACATGTGGCTACTTTAATGAAAATTAAAATTAAAAATTCAGTTCCTCAGTTACAGAAACACATTTCCAAATAGCCCAGCATGGCTGGTGGCTCCCATGCTGAACAGCACAGACATTGAACACTGCCCTTATCACGAAAAGTTCTACTGGACAGCACTGCTCTGGAAAATAACCTCAAACAACTCGAATGGGAGCCCTCTTGGGAAACAGTCTGATAGCTAGTCCTGGATGGCTAACAGAATCTGAGAGCTACAGTTCTCTAAAAAAGGTAAGAGATATTCAACAATTGTTTCCTTTCCCTTTGCAATGATTTCTTCAGATCAGAATGCACAGTTTAGTCGAGATTTGTGCCCATCTTATCACGGACGAGTCTAAACTAGAGGCAGCACAGCACAGAGGCTAGAAGCACATTCTCTGAAGCCAGACTGCCTGGATACACCTCATCTTCGTCTCTTACTAGATGCGTGTTTGTGACTATGAACATGTTATGTAACTACTCTGTGCTTCAGTTTCCTCATCAGTAAATACAAATAATGGTACCTACCTCACTGGGATACTATGAAAATAAAAGGAGTCTAGACACAGAAAGTGCCTAGAATTGTGCTCTGTGCAGAGTCAGTGGCCAGTACGTTAACTACCACTGTTTTCACCACCACCCTGGCAGCTCTTCAGATGACAAGTGCTAAAAATGCTCACCCAGGAGAATGGTTAGCAAATATAAAGGAATTAAACGAAAAGAGGGAACACAAAGTCAGAGTGCTAGTCTACAATAAAAAGAATTTTTTAAAGATGAAAGGGAATGAGTAATCTGATGAGACTATTACGCACTGAAAAAAGCCATGTTTTCAAGAGAGTTGCCTGACAATGTCTTACTTGTAGGGCTAACAGACCAAAGGTGAAAGGAGTCTACATAATAATCTACTGAGCTATTTAAATAAACAGTAAAAACTAAGGAGGAACTGAAAAAATACAAGTTTGAGTTCACCAGACCAAATCATACTTCCCTGTATAGAACACGTTTCAACACTGAAATTCACTGCCTCGCTTATACTCCCTAAGTTACCTGCATGTTTTGCTTGATGAACTGTTGGAAGATTTTCTAATTTTCTCATTAAGCGGGGAGAGATAATGGCAATACCTTGCCACACAATGATCTACTGTGTGTTCTTGGAGTGGAAACCTGCTACCTTGCTCATGCAAACAGGCAATTTGAAAACCCAAAAGCTGAAGTACAAACTTCAGCAAATGTAGTCAGGCGTAGAGGCAGATCTTTGAAGACACACATGGACCCAAGCCTCCAGCCTGGCTCTGCCATGTACTTGCTGTATGACCCTGTGCCACTTGCACTTAATGCTTATGAGCTTCGCATCACTATATGTAAAATACAGGAACAGCATGTGCCTGTTGAATAAGAAACAGACATAAAGAGCCTACCACACTACCTGACATTTAGCAGATGCTCAAAAAAGATGTTCCAGTTAATACATCTTCCTGAGAAGACCCTCCACGAGTCCTGAACACAAAAGACCACTACTTGACATGGTAACTACAAAAACTGTTTTGACCAGGTATCGACTACAAATCATGACGTAATGCCTCAAAATTATCATATGTTTTCCACATTTTATAAGCTCTTCCCCAAACAAAATTCCCTGTTGGACTATCAGCATAAACCATTCAGGTCCATAATAAGAATAACCACACTTCTGACACCTGTACCTTCACTGGTCCAAACCCAAACCTGGGCACTAGCACAATGAGCTAACATTTCTTCCTTTCCCTAGGAGTGGAAAAAGTCAAGAAATTGTGTTTTTCAGTTTCTTTCAGAAAGTTGAGTTCCACAAAACAAAACAATACAGGGTAATTGCTTACCTGGAAAATATTTTGTACTTCAGATCCACCAATCCAGAATGAATGGGGGTATTCCCTTTCAGACTAGTCTGAGAAAAGACAGCAGTCAAGCAGCTTCCAAGATTCTTTCCGTTTACTGTATCCAGCTTTCTTCAACAAAATCCCAAACATGCACTTCGGTAACTGTTGAAAGACAGAAAGCAATCCATACACCCACCATGGCACCAGTGGCAAAGGAGAGCCACCAAGAAATGGAAGGAAGGGTCAATGGAGTAGTGGATCTGAGGCACAGAAAAAGAGTTACATCCCCTGAATAGCTATTTGGTATAAATAGCAGCATTCCTCACCTCCGTGTTAAGAGAAGGGTAAGAAATTCTACATGGCAAAGGCTCACATCCCTAATATTAATATTTACTATGATAAATAGCGTGCAATTTCCAAATGAGAGCAACTAACAGATTACACTATTATCCACATAAATTGTCCCAGATCATTCCGCTACAATGAACTTCCTTCTCCATTGTCTAAGACAGCTCCACCATCATTACAAAAAGTTTGTCAGCCAAAACTAATGATATGGGAGGGCTCAAATACCTCCCATTAAAGATATTCATTTAAGCACCTAAGAAGAAATCTTTTGGTTTGCTACATATAAGACATCAAATCTACATACACGTTACCCAAATCGTCAACCCTCAACTGAAATATGAACATTTTAAAACACATGGCATAATTTTTAGAGTGTACTTTTGATTCAATAAAGGCCAATCCCCACAATGGCCAGCCACTGAGTAAACTAAGGAAAATAAAGAACACTAATAAATAATTTACTAGATGACACCTTTATTTTTTTATTTTATCCTCACCCGAGGACATTTTTTTCAATATTTTGTTCAGATAGAGTGGGAGGGAGAGAGAGAGAGAAAGAAACATGGACGTGAAAGGGACACATCGAGTGGTTGCCACCCACACGACCTAACCGGGGCCGGGGACAAACTGCAACCGAGGTACATGCCCTTAGCAGGAACCAAACCCAGGTCTCTCCGGACCGCTGGCTGACGCTCTAACCGCTGAGCCAAACCGGCCAGGGCATAGATGACACCTTTAAAGACATAAGCCCAATCCACAGTATATGAACATTCTTTTACTACCATACCAACTTTTCCATTAAAATGGAAGTTCTAAACAAACTATAAGGGAGAGAGAAAAAGGCATTCAACAGAATGATGACAGAGATAAAAAACTTAAAAATCAAAGACTGTGAACTTACCTGCACATAAATTTTCTACTTCTTCAATTGCCACACTATTTCCAAAATATTCCTGCAGTAATTAAGATACCTACCTTTACTGAAGGGCTACTAATGGGTCAAGCCCTTTAGAGTCATTACTCATTTAATTCTCAAAGAAAATGAGAAGAAATAACTTGCCCAAAGTCCCACATCTACTAGGTGAAAAACCCAAGCCCTTTTCCTAGAGCACAGCTGCACCCAAGTCCAAGGATTAGAAAGGCCATGATTCCTGGGCAGAAAAACCAGGCTTTATTCTCAAAGGTCCCTATGTTAATTAACGTCAATGGAGAACTAAAAAAATACAGAAGAGTAATAAATATGTCAGCCGAGCTGAACGAAAATACAACTGAACCAGATGAGCCATCCTGAAACAGCAAACTCCCTAGATCTTGCCACTTAAAAAAACATTTCATTAACTAAGAGCCATGCAATTCTAAGGCCTACAATATTAATGTTAAAACAAAACACAGTATAATGTTGCCCAACTAGACTTTATATTTATAAGCAAAGACTGTCTCCAACTGAGGATCTCAAATCAAGTTGAAACTGAATTGTTAATAAATCATAGGCAATGACTAAAGATGTTCTGATTTTTCTGTTTGTAGGCAATCTGAACTGACTGAATACCAGCCAATGATCAACCTCCCATAACAATCAGATGGAAATATCATAATACCCAAACGTAAAAGAGATTATATTAAGTAAAATCTCAAGTTTTTCCCATTAAGTGATATTACTCTGGATATCAACCAATTTTGATAAAAGCAGCTATAGTGAGCTATGGCTAGTAGCTAACTACTAAGGCAATATACTCTGCTTTTCAAAGTATAACTTAACTGCTATATTGAAAATGTTGAACAATTACAGCAAAACACAACCACAACAATTTGACTAACAAACTCATTTCTGAACCTCATGGATTGTCAGGCCTTTTCCCTGTATTAATGAGCTAATTTTCCCTTTTTCCTTCAAATTAACATGTACTGAATGCCTAACTGGTGGAAGGCCTTATGCTAGCGATATAAAGATCAACAGGTGTCAGACCAGGGGTGTAAAGACTGAGATCTCCCTGTCCTCTGCCCCCTTTCTCTTTGAGTCTCCCAAGTGATCATTTCACAGATCCAAAATAAATATATTTTATTATTAGTTCTCATAAGTGGTTAACTGTTCTCAATGAAACTCTTTTTTCGTTGTTGTTAATCCTCACCTGAGGATATTTTTTCCACTGATTTTTAGAGTGGAAGGGAGGAAGGGAGGGGGAAGGAAAGACACATTTACTAGTTGCCTCTACCACACTCACCAACCAGGGCTGGGGATAGAACCTGCAACCTAGGCACGTGCCCTTGACCGGAATGAACCCGAGACCCTTCAGTGTGAGGGCTGACACTCTAACCATTGAGCCACACCGGCAAGGGCTCATTTAACTTTTTTTTTTTTTTTTAATCCTCACTGGAGGACATTCTTTTTTTTGCATTTATCTTCAGATAGAACAGGAGGGAGAGAGGAAGGATGAAAGAGAGAGAAACATCGACGTGAGGGAGACACATCGAGTGGTCACCACCCACATGACCCCAACCAAGGCCAGGGACAAACTGCAACTGAGGTACATGCCCTTAACGGGATCCGAACCTGGGACTCTCTGGTCCATGGGCCAACGCTCTAACCACTGAGCAAAACTGGCCAGGGCAAATAAATTAAATAAATTTAAAAATTACTCAAGTTCCTTTTTTCTCAGTAGTAGAGCTCTCACTTAATTTTTCTTTTCCTTCTGTGAATCAGAAGCTTGCTATTAGAGAATGGCTGCCTATATTCATCATACTTATATTTGCACATTTCTCTACTCACAGACTCCTTTTTTTTATTTTACATATTAATGCCCCACTTTCTACTTCACAGTTTGAAAGTCTTCATTATTAATTAGCTCAGAGAGGGAATTTCCTAAAAAATGCTTCCTGCTGACATCATAGCATTCTGTAATTTTTAAATTTTGTTAAAACAATATTAAGATCCAGGTTAGATACCCTACTGGACTGTCAGGTCCTCCTGGTTTATCTCTCATTTGCCTACAAAGACAAACTTCCTGCTAGGTAATTGTGATCAGCAGAAACTTAACTGAGGGTAACAAGCACATTCTTGACCAACTGGTTTTCCCCCTTTGTCAACTAATTCAATGAACAACTCAAATACAATTCAGGAGGAAATCTTGTATGATAGTCACTGCTTATTCTGTTAAAGGTCAAATCATCAGCTTTGCTAAAACAAGAATAAGAAACCAAAAATCCTCATTTCCTTGTCCAAACGAAAGCAATCAAACATGAATCGCAATGCTCGATGTTCCTGTCACTCAACACCAGCCTCTTTCTACCTGGAAAGCAGAAACAGGATTGGGTGGGCTCTCTGGAGTTCGAGGACAGGTTTAATTATGTCTGATTGGTAGTTCTTAGTAATTTTAACAGTACTTCCCAGATTTCCAAGATACTGATTTTGTATGGTTTCATCATTTTCCCCAAAGATGGCTAAAACCAACTGAATTTTAGGCCTCTGTAAAGCTTTACAAATAAATATACACACAACTCAGTGGGGGGAATTAAAACCTCTTCACACCATCTGTCTTGACTGTGCTTCACAAAACCCAGTTCCTGTACTTATTTAGCATGGCAAGCAGGTGCTGAGAGACAAGCCTCATATACATCTCTCATACAACAGCCGAAGCAATACCTACATTTTCTCATTTTTCCAGATAATAAAATCACACCACACAAAGGTTAACTTTCTTAAGGTCACACAGCTGGCAAGTGATAGAGCTAGGCTACAAAATCAGGTGTTTGTTTCTAAAGCCCACACCCTTTCTGCTAAATCATGCTTCCCTAAGGTCACATACTCCTTAGAATTATCGACTATTTGGCAAGTTCACATCAACAGATATAAAAGGAATCTCGGTTTCCTCAATACTCTGCTACCAACCACACTCTGGGATGTACAGAGATCAATGTGTTTCTGTGTCAAGTTCTGTAAATATACTGAAGATGTTTATGATGTCTGTGACATACCACCCCTCGTCTTCCCTTTAATCAGTCTTTTCTCCTATACTCATCTCCACCCTTGTTTTAATGTTATCAGAAGGAAATCTTATAAAGGTTTCATAGCATTAAGAAAAAAAAAAACTAACATTAATTTAAATCAATAAATATCTACTGCACACCTAAGTGCTAAGCATTATGAAGGATTCAAAGGACAATGAGACACAGCCTCTAAACAAGATCATAGGCTTTTATGATAAACAGGAAGGTATGATAAGTATTGTAAGAGTTAGGAACAGATAATTATGAGAATTAGTGATGTAGGTGAGAATTTCCAGAAAAGAGAATGGTTAAGATACAGGCAGATGGCAATAAAATAATCAACCAAAAAAATTCAACATAACATTTACCAATCACCTAGTACAAGAAGGCACTGTGAGGAGTTAATTATTTAATAGGGGACACAAACAGGAAACTAGAATACAAGCCCAAAATAAGTGAAGTGCCACAAGATAAATACAAAGTGCCAGAACTTGTTCATTTCATTTAGCAATGATCATCAGGTAGGCAGTGCTTTAGATATAAAAGCCAATGTGGTATCTGTCACCATAATATACACTGACATCAAGAGGTGGCATCTACATTGTTTTGAGGGGATAGGATTTTATCAGCATAGGTAAAAGAGAGGACCGCTGAGATCTGACCTAAGCCAATTTGGCCCGAGAGCCAACTACTAGGTCCTTCCTGTAATATTAGCCTTAAATACATGGGCTTAGGTCAGTTCATATCAGTGCTGACAAAGGAAACTGTGGGAGCAGAATCAGAAGAACTAGGGTCCTCCACGCTTTGGCTGGAATATAGAATGAGTGAGAAATGTGGGAAGAAAAGCCAGAAGGGAGGCTGGAATTGGAATTATTAGGACTTGAAATGCTTTCTTTCCCTTAAAAGTATAAATATCATGAGGTGGAACTCAGGATCCCAGACACCTTCCAGCACAGAAAAGTTTGTTTCTAGAATTCATAAAATCAAACAGCATGACTCAGGGATACACGTGCTGTTCTATAATGGGCTCCTGTGCCATCTTTCCCAGTGTTCAAGATACAGCAGTCAGAGCCAAAAGTGCCAAGACTTGTGTGCAGGATCATGTTTCTTTTTGTCACGTCTGAAAGGACATCTAACCTACTCCAAAATCAGGGGCAAAAAATCATATATTTGAGCCACGGCCTCTTTTTTGTTTTTAATATGTTTTTATTGAGTTTAAAGAGAGAAGAAGGGAGAGGGTGAGAGAGAAACATCCATGAGAGAGAAACATTGATTGGCTGCCTCCTGTACACCCCCTACTGGGGATCAAGGCTGAAACCAGAGACCTTTTGGTACAGAGGACAATGCTCAACCAACTGAGCCACATTAGCCAGGGCAAGCCACAGCCTCTTGAGACAGGTCAATGAGGTCTGTAAGTATGTATGTTGTTTATTTCATTTGGACCCTACTTAAATATTAATTTGTCCATTTAATCAGCATTTGGTAAATCAGCACACAGCTAGACTTAGGGTCCAGTTTCTCGAAGGAGTTACTAAACAATCACTCTACTTAGAAAGCCAATGATAGGAAATGAGGGAAAATCCAAAAAGAAATAAAAATTTCCAATATCTTCATTTGTTTCTTTCATCTCTGTGGCCTTTCTTCAATAGCTCTAAAAATAGCTGATATCAACACCTTCTTAATAAGACCCAATGTATTTTACTGATATTACTACATTCAACAAGTAATATAGCCACTTAGAGATAACACAGAAGGGAAATGGCTCACTTGAGGTCACTCAGCAAAGAGGAGAACCATTCAACAGCTAACAATAGAGTACAAACAGGCAGTCAAGTTTGGGGAAGGGATGAGGTCACACTCACAGGAGACAGGATCACCTTCCCTAAACTTTTAACATCAACTTCTGCCATCTTCTAATAGAAGATTATCCATCTTTCTCTTCCAATTAGCAGCCCTGTGAGTGCTCTCTAATAATGAGCCTCACACCTATTTTACCAAAGCCAGAAATTTGAAAAACAGTCCCACCAACAAGGTATAGCAATGGACTAATATAAGGAAGGCTATAAAAGTCATCGGTGGTTAAATTGTTCACCATAAGCAATCATAAATACAGTTGTCTCAATCAAGACTATGTCGTCTATATTAAAAACTGAACCTGATGAGGCAGGTCTTTTGGAGAAGCAGTCTGTATGGACCCAGTCTCAACCAGGGGTGGAAATCACAAGGTTAGATTTTAATTACTCTATCACCAGTTTTATTTCCCAGTAAACTAAAAAAGTGCACGGAAAAAAGAAGAGTCAAAATGAAAGTAGAGGGATAAAGATTAAGAAGTTGGATATACCCAAGAAGTCTGTTTCTTTCTGTAATACACCATGCTCTGAAATACCAAATGAAAGTTATCCTGTTAACCATTAAGTACCAAACTGGTACAGGATGCACAATCACAAATATTTGAGTACTGAAGCTGACTCATAAAAATCTAAAAATATTTCATACTTTAGGCTTTCAAAATACCATCAGTTTTAACCCCTTCCCCTCCTTCAATCATGTTCTTTTGAAACTAATGTTAAAAATATTTTGAACCTACTTCTGCAAACTAATTAAAATGCAGTGAATACAGAAAGCCACATGCAATTAGATTTTAAGGCTTTATCATTCCTATACTTGTTCCTGGATTTACTAAATCAGTTATTAAGTACCCGTGTATCTACTACATTAAAATAAATACATATATGTTTATGAAAAGGGTAGCCTAAGAGTGTTAACTGGTATCCCTTTGAGAAAATATCAAAATTCATATGTACAAAGCCATTTTAAAATTGATCTAAATAACTACTAAACTCTTGAATCTTTTAAGAATCCCAGTTGACAATGTCCTTAAAAGGCTGAAATATCTTTTCTGATCACAGACAAGTACAATCATGTAAAACCAAAATGTTTTTAAGTTATGAGCATAGGAAGCCAGTAAATTTAGGCTGGATTTTTTAAAAAACCATACACCCAAGGACACTAAATAGATTACTCTGTGTTTCTTCTAATTCTTTCAAAAATAAAGAGCTTTAGTTCTTTTTAAATGAAGAAAGGAAAGGAGCACAGAACAGCCAATGTCAAAGAGCTCTCAAGATACAATTTTTCGATTATAAAGTACTCTATGTTGTAAGTACATGTATTGTATGTATATCATAAGAATATGTGCTATATTTGTAATTCTAATTAAGATATTTCACCAAAATAATCTACTACAAAAGTTGCAGAATGTCAAAAGCTTGGCTATAATAGCTTGATAAATTATACTAACAGGAAATTACTTAATAAATGAAATCAAATAAAAATCCACAAGTGACAGTATCCCTTAGAAAGCAACCACACCTGCACACACACACAAATCAGAAACTACTGTATCTTATTTTTATAGTTCTCAAGAACGCTGGAGAAGCCTAGTTCTGTGAATTACGAAAAGGACAGCAAATATTAAGCTGCCTCCCTATTTATGCTACTGTACTTCCATTTTAAAAACATGCATCTCAACTCCCCAGATACCACCATCCACAGAAACCATGCAGCTATCCAACAGACTTTCAGTGTCACCATTTATTATTTATAGCATTAAATGGGGGAAGTGGCTCTGATGTCACCGACCCTACCCAGTGGAATCATTGACTCAATAAACATTTTCACACTGGAGAAAATCTGGCTAGGAAAACATTTTGCCGGGTTAAATAGATTCTTTCACCTTTCCTCTCAACCCGGGGTAGAAGTTGTTACCGTGTTAGGAGAGATACAAAGAAACTGTCAAGGTTTCCACAGGAAGAAACCCCTGGGCTTGTCCATTTGCTGAGGCAATGACTTCCTCTACAGCCCAGTTTGATTTCCCTAACGTTCACATTGGCAGGTAATAGCTGCCATATTTTATTTCTCCCACCCAATCATCCACCAAGTAGCAAATTCTACTAGCCAATCTCTCATGGTCCCGTTTCTAAAAACCCCTTCTGGCTCCAGGTCCTAAGGGGAAAAGGGCTGGGGTGTCCTCGGGAGCGAGGAAGTCTGGTCTGGCTACCGATGATTTCTAACAGAAGAGTGATCGCTTCCCCAGGGGCTTAGAATTCTCCCCCCACCCCGACCTCCCCCTTTGGAGAAGAAAGAACTGGCGGCAGTCATGAGGACATCCCCTCCCCCATCCTCCCCCAATTTCCCAAAGCGGCTCTGGAAAACGTGAAGTTTCTATTTCCCTTTCCTGGGAGATGGAATCCAGAGTACCTGGGGCCTTGCTAGGCAAACATCCCTCTCGGCCCAGTAGGAAACCCTTTGTCCGAGCAGCCGGACATCACTGGGGTCCGGGAAAGAGGCCCCTAATCCGTCACAGCCTCACACCCGAGAGCTTCCCACCTCCACCCCTGTAGGGCCTATCCCGGCACCTCCACAGCCCTAGGTAGGGGAGAGGGTGCTGAGACCCCTACTAGGACGCGGAGGCCCGAGGCCCTGACCGATCTCCTCCGCACCCCCTCCCACCACCATCTCCCTCGGCCTAAGTGGGGCTTGCAAGAACGGTGCAGGCCTGTGCCGAAAAAACAGAGGAGAAAAACAGAATCGTAAATCCACTTCTAAGAGAAGGAGAAGGAGATGCTACAGCGAGTGTGAGCTAAGGCCAGAGCACTAACGAGCAAGGGTCGTTCGAGAGATGGGCCCGGAGACAGGACAGGGGGAGGGAGGAGAACCGAGGGGCATGAGGGGGCCGGGCCACCACCAGCCCGAGATCTCGAGGGATCCGAAGGAACCGCGCCGGGCCCGAGGCCAGGGAAGGCGGGGGGCCCAAGTCGGGGCCGAGACGGCGGGGAAGGGCTAGGGGCGGCCTCGTGCCGGACGCTGAGGTGGGCAGGCCCGCCCGGGGCCGGACGGACGGAAGAACAGACGGTCCAGCGGGCCGCACTCACCATGAGCTCGATGGTCTTGTCCTCAATCACCGAGTCGGGCTCCATGGCGGCCCCGGCGGCCCCGCCTCGCTCTCCCCGCGCAGCAGCGAACCGCCCGTGCGGAGGAGGCGACGGCGGAGGCAGCAGAGACGGAGGCGGTAATCGCACCCACTCTAGCTGCCAGCCCGCCCGGGCCGCCGGCAGCTCCGCCCTCCCCCTCAGCGAACGCAGTACGCAGAGCGAGGACTACAGCTCCCAGCAGGCGCCGCGTGCTCGGTGGAGCGTTGTGGGAACGAGAAGCCGACGCCTGGCCAGTCGGCCCTGGCAGCGCGAAGCTGAATTCTGAGACGCAAGTAGCACTGGACAGTGAAGACGGGACGTGCAGACCTAAAGAATTAAAGACTCCCTCCAGGTAGAGCCTCGGGAGTTCCGCGACTACATCTCCCAGAACACCCTGCAGGCGGGTTCTCCTTCCGCCACTTTCTCCCGACTTCCTGGCAGCCCAAGGCTACTCAAACCGGAACGGAAAGTCCCAGGCAACTCTTCGCTTGTCAGAGATTCTGCGTGTGCGATCCATTTCCGCACATGCGCAGTCAGTGTCCGCAGCGCCCAGTCGACGCCTAATGAGCGGCTCTGCTGGGCAGCGGCCGTCGGGTGGTGGGGACACATGTTGGAGACAGGTGGGTTAAAGGTGCTTTGGGAGGGGATGGTCTTGGGGCGCAGGTGTGGGAGAGAGCCAGCGAGCGAGAGAAGCTCGGGCAAGGGAGGAGGGTCCTCGAGGGGCATCCTCTCGGGCATCCCAGTGAGGTGTTCCGAGGCCGGGACGGGGAGAGAAGACCGGGGGGCGGCGGAGAAGCTGAGAGACGAAAGGAACCCGTGTACACTGAGCCCCTCTTGCTCATGTCTTCGTTCAGAAAGTGTTATTTAAACTTCCAGCCACTGCTGGGTACCGGTCTGGGCATTGGGAATCAGCTCTGAACATCCCAGACGAGATCTTTGTTCTCGTGGAGCCTAATTCTAGGCGGTGGGGAGGGGGTGGGGCAACCGAAAGAGTGACAGGTGCTGAGAAAGAACACGGCTGGAGACCTGGAGACTCCTCGAGAACTGTCACTGTGAACTTCGTCAGTCGGTGCCAGGGACTCACTAGTAGTGGAACAAATCGGGTTTATGAGGAACCCTGGGGCCTCTCAGTCAGAGCCGCTCGGTGATAGGAGAGGGTTTGAGGAAGTTGGGACTTACCTGGATTAGACCGTGCCAGGAAGCGGGGGTCATTCTACGATTGGGTAGCTCAATAAATCTTACCTGGAATGGAGAAATACCAGACTGAGGGTAAAACTGTAATTGGCAAATAAGCAGCAGTCCCGCGTACTACCGAGAATGGGGGATGTGTGGTCGTTTTTCGGGCTTGCGCAATGTTTGTGTTTTATCTGTGTTGGGATATCATTAAGGAGTGGTCTTTTGTCTTGATTTGTCATGGTTACAGAATGGCCTTGTCTGGTGTTTATGTTCTGTGACATTGTATTCAACAAGAGAATACAAGGCCTAGCTAAGATGGTGAGGCTGTCATCGAGTAATATAACAGCCTGGCTGTAATGCATCAGGCCGGCTTCCAAATGGCAGAGGCTGCTCTTCTCTTTTTCGTGTGTTTTTTGCATTCTCTGCACCTGTGAAGAGAGGGGACTGAATGAGCTAGAAATCTTTCCATTTCTAAGGTCCAGGTTGTTACAGTAATTTGTATGCGTGCAGGACACAGTGTAAGCTCCTTGCAGTTAGCGTTTGAAGTTTCATAGTTCTTATCTCGTGCTTTCCATCAAAGGAATTGAAAGAAAAACAATAGGAAGAAAGTGCACAGGATTGGAAAGTTATTACCATTAACTGGCTATCTGAGTTTCATCAGACCCCTTCCCATATCTGGGCCTTGGAACATTCACTAGTAAAACAAATCAGTTAGAATAAATGACCTCTGTGTCAGTTACCTATTGCATCATAATTAAAACACCTCCAAGACTTAGTAGCTTAAAATGTTCTATTATTTTTTACAGTGGTGTGGGTTGATTGGATTCAGCTGAGCCCACATAGTATAAGCTGAGATTACTCATGGGACTGCAATCAGCTGGGAGCTCATCAAAACTGCCCCTAGGGCCCAGGGCCTCCCTTTGTCCTGGCTTTTTATCAGTCAAGCTTCTGCAGGATAACTAGCTTCCTAGAGGACATGGCCCCAATGAGCAAATGCTTGTTAAGCCTTTGCTAATGTCCCAGTGGCCAAAGCAAGTCATATGGCCCAGCCTGGAGTTTGTGGACAGGGACTGTACAAGGTTGTGCAGAGAGTAATAGTTCATTGGGTTCCACCACTGTAATAGCCAGCCAAGACTTCTGAGGTCCTGGCGCTTTCCACAGGACCTAGCACATTCGGATAGGGTAGGAGTCACAACCTGAATATGATCCTCCAATATGTATGTTTATCACACTGTCTTTTTTGTTGTCTTAAAATTTGAGTTTCACATTTTAAAATCTGAATATCCAGCTTCTCTCAAAAAAATTAAACCCTCTGACTGTATCGGATCTGCATGGCAACAATATGCCGGTGTTACGTAGCAACTACCTTCTTTATACAAAGCATGTACTCTCTTGATTACCACTGTTCACCATCTTTCCCTGTTGCCTTATAATCTGCATGCTTCTTGTGTGCCTAACCCATATAGATATTTGAGTTTGCAACCCTTGGCATTGGAACTGTAGTGGGGGTAACTCAAAGTTTCTTTCCTTTTATGAAAGCCATATCCCATACTAATATTATTGGGTCGAATTCCAGGAGCTCAGGGTGATAGTCACTGAGTCACACATGTGATAGACGTCTTACCCAAGCTATGTGAGAAGCAAACTGAGCCAAAGGTTATCACTTTGCCCTCTCCTCTTCTCAAGTAAGAACTCAGGTACGCCCTGGCCGGTTTGGCTCAGCGGTTAGAGCGTCGGCCTGCGGTCCTGAGAGACCCGGGTTCGGTTTCCGCTAAGGGCGCCTACCTCGGTTGCAGTTTGTCCCCGGCCCTGGTGGGTCGTGCGGGTGGCAGCCACTCGATGTGTTCCTTTCGCATCGATGTTTCTCTCTCTCCCTCTGTTCCTCTCTCTCCCTCCCACTCTACCTGAACAAAAAATGGAAAAATGTCCTCTGGTGAGGATTAATAAAAAAAAAAGAACTCAGGTACTCAGGTGTTTTTATTGTGTCAGTCTTAATGCCAGCTAGTAACTAGATTTGGTCATAAAGAGGACCGAAAGGCATACTTTCCCCCATTTTTCAGATACCTCTGGACTGGGATTTACAAGACACAATTACGCCCTGGCCAGTTTGGCTCAGCGGTTAGAGCGTCGGCCTGCGGTCTGGAGAGACCCGGGTTTGGTTCCCGCTAAGGGCACGTACTTAGGTTGCAGTTTGTCCCCGACCCTGGTTGGTCGTGCGGGTGGCAGCCACTCGATGTGTCCCTTCACGTCGATGTTTCTCTCTCTCTCTCTCTCTCTCTCTCTCTCTCTCCCCCGCTCTATCTGAACAAAAAATGGAAAAATGTCCTCAGGCGAGGATAAAAAAAAATACAAGACACAATTACAACAAAGTGGTACAAGTCTGCGACACCTTAACCAAAATCATGAGGTCTGGATAGGTTTCAGAATTAAGAATTGTTTAAATTGTACAAAGGTAGTACAGTGCTCACCCAGATAGATAATGCAGCACTCTCAGTGATATCTAGGACAGCACTACATAATCAGTTACATTAATTAATCTGCAGCAGAACATGTGTGTGCCTGTTACCAAGTTGTAGCCTCTCAGCTCCAAATCTACCCCTCTTTTCTATGCTTTGAAATACTGGAGTGGGCCCTGGGCCATGTGGTTCAGTTGTTTGGAGTGTTGTCGCATGCACCAAAAGGTCACTGGTTAGATTCTTGGTCAGGGCACATACCTGGGTTATGGTTCGATCCCCGGTTGGGGTCGGTACAGGAGGCAACCGATCAATGCTTCTCTCACACATGAATGTTTCTCTCTCTCCCCCTCTAAAATCAATAAAAACATACTCTTTTTAAAAAGTACTGGATTGGGACCCTGTAAGTATTTTTCTTCTGCCAGCCTGCACAGTGGTTAACTTTGTCAGTAGAGCACCCTGGAGGGACAGGTGAATGAAAGGACTTCTCTTCGTGGCTTGAGTATACATTCTTTTCCTTCTTGCCTTTGTGGCACATAGCAGCAGTGGTTTGCAGAACTGTAACCCACACGCGTACACACAGATGGCTGGGGTAACCAGAGCGTGGCTTCCCAGTGAGTTCCGTGGCACCTCAGCAGGCAGTTTCCTGCTTGCCAGACCCAGCCTGCAACATGTTAAAATGATGTATTTTCACCTGTGATGATGAGTTTTCTGAATTCAGCTACATTAGAGAGAAGGATAGTGCAGTGAAATTTTTACAACTCATTTCCAGCTAACATCAAAGAATGCAAGTCTTTAGAGGGAGAATCTTTTGAAATCATAAGAGAGTGTTGATAAGAAGTACTGAAAGTAGCAGCTCTGTATTCTATCCACATGACAAGGCTTCTTGCTTTATCTGTCTATCTGTAGAATCCAGGGAAAAAAGTTATCATGAACTATGTATTTGCACATTTATTTGGAATAAAAAACAAAGCTAGACTTTCTGACAGAGTCTAATTTGACGTATTGGTTCGCTAGGATTGGCATTGCCAATAATGTGTTGTTAGATGAGTTGAATCTTTAATTCCATGATTTTAGGAAAATATATTTAAAGCACGTAAGTAAATAACATTTATCAATTTATTTATTGGCAGACCTGTATTTAAATTAATATTTGTATTCCCCCCACCACCACCACCATTTTAAACTTAACAGGTTAAATAAGATACCTACAAGTGAAAGAGTAAAGAAAAGCTGCACCAGTCAGAATAGAAGACACTATGCCACAGGAGCAAATTACCCCATGTATCAGAGAAGCAGAACCACTAAGAACGAATTAAGGAATTTTTTAAAAGGAGCTGACATTAGATAATTGTCAGATCGAATTAAGCAATCTCTGTACGGCTGTTGTCTTCATAGGCAACAGTAGATCTTAAAGTCCATACGACAGGCAGGAAAGGGAGATGTGTGGAGGATGGGGGAGAGCAAGCATAGCTGACTGGGGTCCATGAGGACAGGCAGAAACTTGTGTCACTTCTTATTGTCACTGACCTTGGCACTGTGGATGTCCTACAGAGACTGGAGCCCTGTGTCACAGAGCTGAACACCCACACCTGGCCCAGGAATTGGAGAAGCTGAAGGAGAATCTAAGGGAACGTGGAACCATTGCAGACCCAGCCACTCCTCACACCAAGGAGGTGAGTAAACTGATCAACAACGATGTATTTGGGCTACAAAATTATCTCAGTTTCACTTCCACCCTCCACATCCCTCACAGGAATCTGTCTTGTGGCCCACCCTAATCAGAAACAGACACGAACAGAATTCAGGGAAATGTAGTTTCCTAGCCAAGCTGACCCACTACTAAGTTTCACACCTTAATACACATTTCTGGTTCATGTGAAGTTCAACGCGGCCAGCTAGCCCTCTATCTTAAAGCTAGACCATCTGAAATTTATGGTCTCTAGTATTAATGGGCCAGCTATTAATTGCCTCATCTCAGAACATCATTCCTGCTCACTGTTCATTGGTCAGTGCCTAATCACAGTCTTCAGAGGCTGGAAGGGATGCTAAAGGATGTGCTCTTCCTGTATGCCTAGACAAAGAAATGAAGTAGAATTCGCTGAACAAGTAGGATTATCTCTGCTACACAGGTATAATTAGTATGCATTTAATAAATCTTGATAAAGTGTTTTTGGTATGCTCCCAGAAATTGAGAAAGTGTATTTCCCACTGGCTATATAAAAAATCCTTTTAGTAGTTGGGTGGTTCCCAATATTTTGTTCTCAACAAAATTGATTAAATTGACTTTCCATTTCCTCATCTATAAAATGGGAATGAAGCCCAGCCAGTGTGGCTCAGTAGTTGAGTATCTACCCATGTACAGGTTCGATTCCTTATCAGGGCACATGCTGAGGTGATGGGCCAAATCCCCAGTGGAGGGCATGCAGGATGCAGCCAATTGATGTTCTCTCTCATCCATGTTTCTATCTCTCCCTTTCCCTTCTTCTCTCTCTAAAATCATAAAGAAAAAATTTTTTAAAAATAAAATGGGGCCCAGCCGGTGTGGCTCAGTGGCTGAGCAACGGCCCAAGCACCAAGAGGTCACCAGTTCGATTCCCAGTCAGGGCATATGCCCAGGTTGTGGGCCTGATTTCCAGTGGGGGCATGCAGGAGGCGGCCAATTGATGTTCTCTCATTGTCGTTTCTATCTCTTTCTCCCTCTCCCTTCCTCTCTCTCTCAAATTAATAAAGGGGAAAAAATTTTTTTTAAATAATGTAAAATGGGAATGACAATGTCTTCCTCATGGGTTTTTGAAAGGATTCAATAAGTTAATCTGTGAAAACTCTTGGTGGTCAAAAATGTTTGTTGTTAAATAAGAATAATATTCGCCCTGGCCAGTTTGGCTCAGCGGTTAGAGCCTCAGCCTGCGGTCCAGAGAGACCCAGGTTCAGTTCCCGCTAAGGGCACGTACCTCGGTTACAGTTTGTCCCTGGCCCTGGTTGGTCGTGCGGGTGGCAGCCACTCGATGTGTCCCTTTCACATCGATGTTTCTCTCTCTCTCTCTCCCTCCCTCCCACTCTAGCTGAACAAAAAATTGAAAAAATGTCCTCAGGTGAGGATAAAAAAAATAAAGATGAATAATATTAAATGTCTGTAGAGAGAACACACACACACACACAGCCAGGCGTAACTTCTTTCAGAACAGAAACCCCAAAGTCAGACCTGCTGTATGACCTGGGAGGCACCAGTGTACTCAGAAGCTAGTAAACCCTTTCTGTCTGGCAAATGTGGATAAGTGCGCTCTGCTTTCCCACCCCAGTCCAAGAGAACAGTCCCAAAGGCAAATAGAGTTTCTCCCCTTGTTATTTTATTAGAAGCATATTTACATTATTGCAGTTAACTTTGTGGGGAACATTTTACACAAGTCTTGTATAAAGATTAGAAACTACATAAAAATAACTTCTATCCTTCATAAAGGGAAAATATAAGTTAGTTATATTTACTCTGCCATAAACTGACTGAAAATGAGAAACAGTTTTCGTCTGTCGCTTGCAGAGGAAACATTAGCACAGGGCACAAGGAATACTGCATGGCCTTCTCAGTGATGGGCATTGCACATTGGCTCAATCGTGAGGCTGAAAGACCCAACCAGACCCCATCCAGAAAGAACAGGGGACCTGTTAGGGCTTGGGCAGCACTGAGCAGGGAAGCAGCAACTCCTTGAATAAGATTCCAAAGTGAATGACAAGCCATATAGGGGAATGACCAAAGTCTCGCCTGAGCCACAAAACCGGCATTTCACCTAATACTTATGCTCTCCCCAGGCTGCAAAAGGCAATGGGTTGTAAACAAAGCCCAAATCAGCCCTGCCTGACCACTTGCCAGTGCTGGCTTCCCCTGGTGGAACTGGGTCTACACTCTGTAGATAGATTGCTGCTGATTCACGTTTTTCAGCACCTGTGCACCTAAAAGAATCAAAAGGGACAATTGTTTCACTCAATACCTGACAGGTGTACCATCTGGGTCAAATACTGAAGCAGGCAAGCTGAATGCTCACCATCCTAAAAGGACCACTACCTTCCCACAGCTGCCTCCAGAGCATCTTTACTGCCCCTTCTCCTTTTGAATGGCTACCCTCCCCTTGCAAGATCCAGCAGAGGAGGATTACAGCCAGGGCCAAGACTCCGGGAAATGCTGTAGGAAGACTAACCCTAAGGAGTGCAGAAGGAAGAAGTCTTCCCAGGCTGTAACAGTCACTCTGTCACCAGCAAAGTAGCACCCAAAGTGCCCATATGATTTCTAAAAATCAGATTTCTGTCTTGTTTCTTTAAGGCAGGTATCTTCCTGAAGAAGCCATTCATTTGTATTTGTTTCAAGTTAGAAATTAAGGTGAAAAAAGTTTTCTTTGTAAATAAAAGTGAATGCCAGTTTGAGCATTTGCTTTCATTGAGTTATTGACACTCTGCAACCTTGGGGATCGGAACCTGGGAGGTCAACTGATGACCCAAAGGTCCAGGATTCTGTCTGAGCTATGGAAGCTTTGCTCCTGCTGTGTTCTTGGGGGCAGGATGCATTATATTTTTCCCTGATGCTTTTGCTTTCTGAACAAAAGTCCCAGTGACTTCCAGCCTCTGTCTGAAGTGTAAGGCTGGACTCCTGAAGTAGGAGGGGCACGGGGCAGAGGGAGATAGCTTTCCCATGTCACCGGGGCAGGTGTGAGGCGGAAACAGACTGGGTTGTGAAAGTGTTGTGTGGTGAGGAATTTATCCATGAACACAGGCTACCACATGGGGGCCAACAGGAATCAGACTGTTCACGCTTTGCCATCTCGTGCCTCTGGTGCCAGTACCCAGCATGCCCCATACCAGTGGCTCCACTTCACATGCTCAGTGGCTCAGGCAGCAAACGTGTTACAACCCGCCTAGCAGAAGAGGCCCAGGGTGGCAGCAAGTCTGGGTAGTGCCAGGGGCCCAAGCCCTTTGTGTGAGTGTGCAAGAGGGGGGGTACAAGATGGCAGGAACCGAGACCAGCACAATGAACCATTCCGGCTCTCCCCCACTGTACACATGGCCTCAAGAGGAAAGCAAATCGGAGGAACTGGAGAAATTAGGGCACCCCCTGAGCAGCTGGCTATTAGAAGCCATGGTTCTTGTCTGACACTGCAGGCAGTGGCTGAACAGCCACCAAGAATCACAGTATATAGACGAGCCCACGGCAACTTCAGCAGCAGCACTTTGCGCCCACCGACAGCAAAAACTGGTGTTTTGGCAAATAGGAGGGGCCTCAAGGCTAAAAAAAACACTGGTTCCCTTAGACCCTGACCCCACCCACAACCCAAATCACTGACAGCTTGAAGGGGCCTAGGACTCAAAGATAACATATATTAAGATTAGGCGACACATAGTAAAACCTCACCCTCCATGAGGGAGCGAAAAGTCATGAACACTGGGGTCACACGGGCAAGGGGCTGGATTCGAGCTGGCATGGAAGCAGAAGGGAAGGGGGTCCTGAGTTACTTGTTCACAGAGAATGGGAGGGCCTGGAGACCCGCCAGCCTGCCAGCCACAGCCCCGAGTGGCTGTTAGGAAGCATCCGCAGAGCCGTAGGGGAAGAACTTGGTGGCCTTGTTTGGGGTGTTGGGGTTCAGGCACTCCGTCTCCTCGTTCAGTTTGAAGAACATCTCCTGCTCCCGCTTCTTCTGGTTCAGGTCTTCTTCCAGAGCCTAGGACAGAGAGAGGACAGATGGAACTCAGATTCCATAGGACACAGGTCTCCCGACCTCAGGAACCCCACCAAAGTGACCTCCTCTGGAAATTTCCCTCCCAGAGCTTGTCACCCAGAAAGTAAGCACCACCTCCTCCTCCCTCCTGCCACAGCCATATAGGAGTTTCCTGTGAGCCAAGGGCTACAGTTGGGGGCAATGCCAATCTGCGGGGAGGAAAACAGCCAGAGAAAAGCCCGAGGTAGACGAGGGAGAGAGAGGTTTAATAGAAGGAAGCAGACATGTCTGAGTTATACAGTGTTCCTAACCAGGGCCCCGTCCCACAGAATTCACCCAGGGCACTTTTTTCAAAATGCGTGTGCTGTCATGCCACCCTCTGGGCTTCCGATTCTGAAAACTGGTGGCAGGTAGGGGTTCTCTGCATTGTAAAAGCACATGAGGCAGTGGAGGAGAGCTTCTGCTTGAAAGCACTGCACAAGCTTCTCTCAGGGGGGCACACGTTTATCTAGACAGGGTAGATACTGCCAGAAAAACTTCTTGAGAAATCTACAGTCAGGCGCAATTCAGCTTCATCAGTACCAGCTGTGTGCCTTGCATGTTACCTTTCCTCTGAGTCTGTTTCCTCACATCTAACACTGCAGTATTCCTCCCTGACTAGCAGGGGTGTCATGAGATGAAATGAGAAACTAATGGATCATAATTACCAAGTAGTTCCTACACATCAGGCACTATGCTGTATGCATTGCATCTTATCTTCACCCTGAGGTAGATACTAGTATCCCCGTCTTATAGATGGAGAAACTGGGCTCAGCTAGCTCAGGTCTAACTTAAGAGTTCACGCTCTGAAAAGACTACTCCATCTGCAAAACCAGGCACACAAGGGTTGTCCAGTTAATGTGGCTTCATTATAAAGAGGTATTTGACCATCGGCCAACTTTCCTTATTTTTCCTATGATCACAGGACTTGACCA